ATAATTTCTTTCGGTTCTGAATCAGTAAGAACGCATTAAATTTTTAGATCGATAATTTAACATTTCGTTAAGTTAATAGAATTTTATTAGTCCCGATTATATTAGATTAGGGTAAATTACGGACACCCATGAGTTAAGATCAAATTACTAACTCCACCATGTTTGGGTGATTACAATCACCTCTCAACTATTAAATATGTTTACATGTCCACTCTTGCAGATTTAAATTTAGTGGAATCTTCTAGATTATGTGCAATATTCTTCAATTTGTACCAATTTTACCACATTCGAGCTCAACATTTGGAAACAAGATGATCATAAGATGTATCTATTGACTTGTAAATATAAAATTGTGGTGCACCAGAAAGTAATAAATATATTTTTGCACAAAACAAGTACAAACTAGAGAACATTCCAAAGAATGTATAATATTCTATTGAATTTGACACGATCAGAATAGACGTGCAAGAACATTCATAGTTGAGGTGTTGATAGTAATTATCCAAAAAAAGAATTATTTTTATAACTAAACCTTATTTCATGGGATGACAACAATTTGCATAATAATCTATAGAGATTTAACTGCGTTATTATCTATTACTATTAGCAAACAGCCAGCCACATGTGATATAAAGTTGTTTAGCAAACTATTAGGGGGTTGTTATATAGAAAAAAGGCAACATAGAAGGTTGATGTTATCATTAATAATGTGGGGTGTTTTTGGCAATTTGGTATAGTACATGGGTATTAAATGTAATAAACTTTTTTTCTTTTTACATACAATTTAATCTTCAATCATGTTTTTGGAATGCGGAAATAATTAGAAAAATTGGACAAAAGTCAAATTAAATGCAAATGGGGAAAAAGTAATTTAGGGATAAAGGTAAATTAATGATGGCAGTGCCTTCAGTAATATCTTTTCTTATTTTGGCCAAATATATTGGAGTATTAATTTCTGTTCAAATATTTTTGAATATTATCAAGTCTTCCATCATGAATTTTACATTAATTGGTTATAATTTACTATTAACGTTTGAATTTTATTGTGTGGTGCATTTATGCAACAAAAATTTGAATTTGTTTCAAAATTTTAGGTTCATTAATTTCTAATATTTATACTCCACCAAATGTTGGGAATTATTCACAAATCCTTTAACAGTCAACACAATTGATTCAGTTAAGAGAGTAATGTTTTGAATTTCAAGGCGAATTTAGAATTATTTAAAATAAGCCCACTCAATTTTTATTTTTTTTTATTTTATTGTTTATAATACTTGTATTAGAGTTTTGGGATAAACTTTTTAAAAGGGTTTTATGAATTGTATTGGGCCAAGTCTGATTCTACTAAGATAGGCCCATTATACAGGCCCGAGTTTGTTGGCCCGATTCTAATTCTGTTAAGATGGCCCATTATACAGGCCCGAATTTGTTGGGCCGAATAAATTATAATATCTGATAAATTAGCCTATAACACCTACAGTAGAACCTCGATAAATTAATACCCGATAAATTAATAACATCGCTTAAGTAATAAATTTTCCCGGTCCCGACTCGGGGACAACGTGCTAAATTAATAATTCGTTAAATTTATAAGACAATACACATTCGAAAAATTTAAGAAGCCCCATATAATATATAAATTAATAATGCATAAAAATAATTCTTAAATTACATGGTATAGTACATATTATATAGATCTATGAAAGCTTAATACAATATAATTTAATTCTTGCTTGTTTCTTGTTGAAGTTCACATTTCCATCAATCTCGTCCCTCACTTTTCTTAACATGGCTAGAACTTTCGGTATTGTTTTGCCATAATCAACATAAAATCGTTATATACCATTGCTGCTTTAAGAGCTTCCGTTCGTGAAACGGGCTCTATAATGCATTGAACTAATGGTACAAATAATAATACACATAAAAAAATAAAAAGAAAATGTATTTATTGAAAATAATAATAAAAGTAATTTCATAAATTAATAATTCATTAATTTATGTATAAATTAATAATTATTAATTTATCGATAAGTTAATATTTCGCTAAATTAATGAAATTTTGATGGTCCCAACAGTATTAATTCATAGAGGTTTAACTGTATGTTGTTAGGTTGAGGTAGTGAGGCATATGTCAAGGGCCCCAGGGTAGTATACGTGTTAGATTGGGATATATTGCGTATTTATAGTTATATATTATTTATATC